TACTCTATCAAAAGTAATATGGAAAGATAATATTCTTGAAAACTTCAATGTCACAGGGTAAAATATTACATAGTATTTTTGAAAAGGCCTTATCACAGGTAGTATACATTTTCAATATGAAAGCCCTTTCTTTTCTCTTTCAAAAGTTATGATCAATATAAAGTAATAGTCAAACTTTTTTAGAAGTAGGTCAAACTTCAAGGTCACAGGATAAAAAAAATCACAGTAGATTTAGAGAGGTCTTGTCACAGGTAATGTATTTAAACAATAAAATGCTTTCTTTGTTTGTTATTACTGGAATTAACGGAAGCAGCTGTTGCAGAAAAAATACATAACCCGCGTAAGCGGGTTATGTAATTTTTTTCTGCAATAGCTGCGACCGTTAATTCCAGTAATAACAAACAAAGAAAGACATTTTATTGTTTATATTTATATCTGTTTAAATAATCATTTAAAGTAGGATTAAAAAGATTAATTACTGTATTAATGATGCGAATCTCTTTATACGTTTCATTGATGGAACAGCCACTGATCAAGAAATATGTACAGGTGACATGCCCAATGTAGTTCATGCAGTGATTAACGCAATGGATTTTCTTAAGATATAAAGGAGAAAATATTCAGTGGATGTAAATATATACATATGACTATGACTGTGGTTAAAGTTTGATACTTTGGTATAAAAGCGGGTCAAACGCCAAATTCAAGGTCAAGGGGTCAAATTTGGTGGTAGTGGTACCCAAAGAAAGGTCTTGTCACAAGGAATACACTTGTGTATGAAAGCCATTGCCCCATGCACTCAAAAGTTATGGACAAGTTTAAAGTTTTCTGCGGACAAACAGATTTACAGACAGACAGACAGACAGACGGACGATCAGGACAAAAATCTGTATAGATTCTACCCCCAAATCTTCGATAAGGGGCATAAAATTAAACACGTTTTGGAAGACGGACAAAATTTCTGACAATTGTTAACAACCAGAATAAAAGAAGCCAGGGGTTGGTTGATTATCTGTACGTTTAAAGTCGTATCATTTATTGATATCGATCAAGAATACGCTCTGATGAGTTGGGTATACCTAAAATTTTACTTCCTAAAAGATAACCTTCAAAACGAAACTACATTCTGCTACAAAATGAAAAGGTATGTTTTTTTTCAATTGCAACAGAGTAACATTTCAGCATGACAGTTTCCACAACCGTAGCTATATTTTCTCAAGCCTTTGTTGTATCTATAATTTTGAAGAATATGGAAAGCGAAATTTTTTTTGTACTTTTGCTTCCCGTATTGGAAATTTTCCAATCCGTTGAAAAATATGTCACATCTGACAACATAAATAATATAAAATCCGTCAATAAAGTTTTGTTTTAGGTATTTTGTTGTTCATTTAGGATCCTTTCTTATTTTTCCGTTTCTTGAAGATGGCGGGACTCCGTGTAGTGCGGGGACCGGACTGGACTCAGGGGGACGGGGATGGAGGGGAGGGGCATTTAGGGACGGTAGTGATCGTCAGTGAGAGGGAGGCTGTCGTGAATGTGATCTGGGACATTGGAAATATTACAACCTGCCGGATCGGAAAAGACAACAAATATGATCTGAGAGTGTTCGATAATGCTTCCATAGGTCAGTACTTTAGTTCTACAAGTATTGTTTTTCATTTTCTTTTTTTTAATGCATTTGTTTAATTGTTATTTTTTTAGGAATTGTTTTTAAAAACAAGAAATGTTCGGAATGTCAGTGGGAAATTTTCTATGGAATGTGCTGGGAGTGCAAAATCTGTAAAGACACCGACCTCTGTACCATTTGTTACTTCAGAGGCAAACACGACATGGAACACGAGTTTGTCAGATATACTATGCCAAATGCAGAAGGGTTAGTGTTTTATTAAAACAAAGTGGACTTACACTTACGTAATTGTGTGTAAATATACACACCTGTTATAATAAGGACTGATGTGGAAGAGGATCATCAATGATTTTAATCATTGTTTCCTCCAAAGTGTTCTCTAATAATTTCATTTTCTAAATGGCCATATTTTCTGTCAAAATTTGAGTTAGATGCGTAAGTTTTTAAATGATCATTAACACAAGACTAATTTTCTTTATCAAAATCCTTAATGATGTGGTTAGCATTTTTTTTAATATCCTAGCCTACAAATGGCTTGTCATATTTGCTGAGTAGGACAATTCTCAGATAACTTTGGACTTTCAGTAATTAAGGCGTGGTATTCTCGACGTTACCTAATTAGCGTCTGAAATTTACACAGCCTTTTATTCACACACTGTTGAAATATACTATGTCAACGAGTTAAGTCCCAGTGATAGCGTGTCATATGACAAGGTTAATTGTACTAAGCTTCTCGGAGTGGTAGGTTTGATTTGGAAGGTCCGTCTTCTTTAGACACTGTGTACTGTTAGTTGACAACCATTGATTCGGGAGATGCCAAGGGATTGGGGAAATTAAAAAAATCTGGTCTTGAAAATGTTGAGAATAAATAAGTTAATCTCAGATGGCACGAAAATAAGAATCTAATCATGACTGATTACCCCCCCCCCCCACACACACACACACACCCTTACACGCACAACATCAACAGTACAATCACGAACTTGGACATTTTTACCTTTTTATTTGCTTTTTTAGTCATTTTTTCCAATGAAGAAGAAAATCAAAATTCTGTCCTCTTGACTGGCATCAAAATAAATAATCCAACCCGAAAACAGGATTGACACCCCCCTCTCAGAATCAAATGGTCGTCCCCTAAGTATCAATGACTGTACGCCTTTAAAACGTCATTTAAAGAAAAAATATTTATTTAGAGTCGAAGTCCAAAAACGCTTCTCAAGTCTGGCCATGAGGTCATTTGGAATGTATCCTGGAGCCAAAGTCACCAGGGGAAGAGATTGGGATTACGAAGACCAAGACGGTACGACTTACAATTAATATAAAAATAATGTAAAAATTGGATTACAGCAATACGTACATTTGATGTTCTTGTTTAAGGTGGAAGTGGGGCGGTGGGAACTGTACGGGACATTCGCAGTTTCAAAAAGGATATGTCTCACCGTAACGCTGTTGGAGTCATTTGGCCTTCAGGAAAAGTGTTTGCTTATCGCATTGGATTCAAGGGGAAAGTTGATCTTGCCTGCAAAGAAGTGGCGAGAGGATTTGAATATTATCGTGAACACCTTCCACTGCTAGGCAAGTATAATCTGGCATGCAGTTATTCATAGAATAAAAACCATTCACAAAATTTTCCAGTTCGGTATACGAAGATGACGCAATGTGGTGCGCCATCATAGTATATGTCTCTCGTAGATACTGTGTGGTGGAGTGGAGATAGGTGCCAGCATTTTGCCTTACTTTAATGGTATTCAGTGGTATTTATAGATACGGTGGTGATTGTCTTTTTAGCTCACCTGAGCCGAAGGCTCTAGTGAGCTTTTCTGTTCACATTTTGGCCGTCGTCCGTCCGTCCGGCTGTCTGGCTGTGCGTGTGTAAACTTTTCACATTTTCGACTTCTTCTCAAGAACCAATGGACCAATTTTAACCAAACTTGGTACAAAGCATCTTGGGTAAAGAGGAGTTTAAAATGTTAAATTAAAGGACCAAGTCCTCTTACAAGAGGAGATAATCAAGAAAAGACAAAAATAGGGTGGGGTCATTAAAAAAAAAATTCTTCTCAAGAACCACTGGGCCAGGAAAGCTGAAATTTAAGTGGAAATATCTTTGGGTAGTGTAGATATTAAATTGTAAAAAATCATGACCCCCGGGGGTAGGGCGGAGCCACAATAGGGAATCCAATTTTTACATAGAAATATATATATAGAACAAATCTTTAAAAATCTTCTTCTCAAGAACCACTGGGCCAGGAAAGCTGAAACTTATGTGAAAGCATCCTTGGGTAGTGTAGATATTAAATTTTTAAATCATGACCCCCGGGGGTAGGGCGTGGCAACAATAGAGAATCCAAGTTTTACATAGAAATGTATAGAACAAATCTTTAAAAATCTTCTTCTCAAGAACCACTAGGCCAGGAAAGCTGAAACTTATGTGGAAACATCCTTGGGTAGTGTAGATATTAAATTGTAAATTTCATGACCCCGGGGGGTAGGGTGGGGCCACAATAGGGAAACCAAGTTTTACATAGAAATGTATATAGAACAAATCTTTAAATATCTTCTTCTCAAGAACCACTAGTGTTAAAATCATGAAAAGGAAGGGGGTAGGGGGCACGATAGGTATAGCAAGAGGGGAAATCTGGTAAAGAACTGCATCACCCAAATTACTCAGGTGAGCGATGTGGCCCATGGGCCTCTTGTTTTTTAATATTTCAGATCTTGATTTGATTAAGAATCAGGTAACTACTCAGTCAACTGTTGGTGTAAAAATTGGCGACCAAGTCTGCATCACCCTTTCTAAAGCAGAATTAAAGGAAGCACAGAAAAATTTCGGGGGGTTTCATGACGAGATGGAAAGTGTGAGTTAATAGCGATATTCAATTATTCAATACACCGTTAAATTCATAAAAAATCAATTCTTTTATCAAAGGATATGCATCTGTTTAGAGAACAAGAAGATATGGTGTAGTATGGGTAATGAAAATAATGTAACAACTGATGAAGGGAATCCGGATTTGACCATTTGCTTAAAGATGCATAATAACTCACCTGAGCCACTTCTCTTCATAGCTGTCTACGTATCGTCCCTGTACCTGTCTTACTGTCTCTTAGCATTTGTTTACATACATATATTATATACTGTAAAGGTATACGAGAGTTGGATCAAGTCTATAGGTGCGACAAAAATCGGGATTCATGTTCTTTTTATTTTAAAAGTACACTAGAAATGTAATAAAACCCCGAAAATGATTCGAACTCTAGACCATATCATTCTAAAATCTTTTCAAGCATTCCAGCTTAATGGGTTTTCATCTCAAACATCTTTTTAATATACCGGTACCACTGGGTACTTTTAGGCCATAGGGAAACGTGGTATAATCGATGGTTTTACAGACAACGGGGGAATTGTCGTCAAATTCCAGGACAACAGATGGGTCTTCAACCCAAAGGCTCTAAGCAAAGTACGTACATATAGAACAAACGTATACATCGTATTACTTTAATAACCACTGGTATAAGAAATGATATATATTGTAGTGGTTCGCGTTACTCTTTGGCAGGTTTGGAGGGTGGCCGCGGGGGAGACTGTCCGTGTAAAAAATGACCAACAAAAAGTTGAAGCCCTCCAGAAAGGCCACGGAGAGTGGAATCCAAATATGTCCAAGGTATATTAATGAAAAGCAAAAATGAATTTTTAAAAATCGATTAATTATCAGATACATGATGATAATAGATTGAAATTTGATGTAATTAATTACAAGTTCAAATTTGATGTAATTAATTACAAGTATTTTGATAATTACCACATACCAGGTTTTGGGCAAAGTAGGTAAGATAGCCCGAATCACTCCTAAGAATGATGTAGTAGTGTCCTTCGGGAGGAAACACTGGGTATTTAATGTGGCCTGCTTGACCCCGTGCCCCGGGGCTCAGGTCGACGAGATGGAGGAAGAGGAGGATCTCTCTTTATCCGTTGGTTTGTAAAAATTCCCTTGTTGAGGAAACTATTACCACCTTTTAATTTTAAGTTATATTTCAACATTGGTTGAAAAAAATGAATAAATTCTATATTAATGCTTAAAATGAATGATATTCTAGAGTATATCGTATTTCAGCAACTGCTGGCTTAGCGAATGGATTGGGGTTATTACTAGAGCAACTGCGAATACTACAAGCCCAGAAAAGCAGACTGTCCCCTGAACAGTTTCTCAGAATGGCGGCTGATGGAGACGATAAAATGGTGTCACAAATGGTCAAAGGGGAACCAAACCTGGTAAGCACTTTGTTCTCACCCGAAATAAAAATCTGGTGAGTTTTTGCTTTTGAATTTGTTATCTTTTCTTTAATTTTCCCCATCTTTATAAAACCAGTGTAATATGCAAATAAAAGGAACAACGGCGTTGATTGCTGCATCATTTGAAGGACATGATGGCGTTGTTAAGATTTTGATTGCCAGTGGAGCAAAAGTGGACCAAACGGACCAAAACGGAAATACGGCATTACTGGCCTCTGTTTCTGCGTAAGTATGAAGATGAAAGGGATGTTAATGCTGACATACGGGAACAAAATGTGTTGAGACAAACCCAAGTACGTGTTTGCTTTAAAACTGAACTGTAATTTTCTGTGGCCTAAAAATGTTTGAGTCCGTACCCCATTGCAAAGTTATGACATTGTTCTATACTTACAAGAACCTTGGACCTGACAAGAACTTCACTATTTCATCCCTACAGTCTTTAGTCCACTTGATTAACTTTGTTTTAGGGAGATATAGGACACCCCAAGATTTCATCAGCTACATTTAAGCCAAGTACTAGTATTTCATTGATCAAGAAACCTTGTTTGAAGGTTACGATGTACTTATTAGTCCAAAAATTCTATAAAACTTTAATTTACTTAAATTATCATATTGCTCACATGGGGTGTGGGTTATTAGTTTGCAAGCTCAGGCATAGTCATAGTACTTTTATTATAATTTACTTGTATATATTATATATGACAATGTAATATTTCAGGAACAAATCCACCACTGTCAAGATATTGCTTGAAGCAGGGTGTGACGTCAATGCTGCGAACAAAAACGGAAGGACAGCCATTCACGTGGCCGCAAAATCTGGTTTTGAGGAACCAGCTAAACTCTTGATTGCATATAAATGTAGCGTAAATGTTCAGGTATACTTTACGTACAAAGGTTACATTTGCTTACTATGTTTTATTATTTCATGTTTCTTTCTAATCCTTTGGTTGTACAATAAGGATCGATGTAATCGTTATTTTTTTTCATTATTAGGACGTTGTTCGAGATACACCCCTACATGATGCGATTGAAAATGGCCTGGACGCTCTTATTTCCCTAATTGCTGATGTCAAGGATATTAATTTTAGGCTTGTCAACAAAAACGGCTTTAACGCTCTCATATTTGCCGCTCTGAAAGGAAATAAAACGTATGTTGATAGATAAAATATTATTTTCTTTATTCTCTCTGCTATAAATGATATGGTATATTAAAGATCTACATTCATGATCGTGAAAAAAAAAATACATGGTATATAGACAAAATCGCTTCTCAGTATATTATTTTCACAAAATTTAACATTAGAAAGAAATCAGCAATCCATTAAAATCCGTCTTTAAAAGCAATCTATGAAGTGTTTTCTTCTACATGTTAATTATTTTCCTTTTAATAAATTCTGATTTATATGGAATTAAAAAAAACAGGTCAGCTAATAAAGGAACGTAATTAGTGCCCATCGGAATTCCAAGTTGTAAAAGACCTGGTCTCTTAAAGCTACATTCATGTCAATTTCCAATGAAATGTTTTGTCACACTTCAATATACATCTGAAGTATGAACGCCAACAGTTCAAAAGTTATGCCCTTGGCCAAGGTTAAAGTTTTATAAATTCTTGCAAAAGTGGGTCAAACGTCAAGGTGAAGAGGTCAATTATGTTGGAACATTAAGAAAGGCCTTGTCACAAGAAATACACATGTGAAATAAAAGGGGTAAAAAATTGCCGACAAACAGCTAGACAGACAGAGGAACAGGGCAAAAACTATATATCCTCTCATCTGCTATTACGGAAGAATAAAAAGTATTCATTTTTATAACAGCAACTCTGTTTGAAGTTTTAAATAGAAGTCTTGTTAAACCTTGACTTAAATATCTGTACTCGTACATGCAATTTAAGCTGTCTGAACTGTTAGTCATAAACGAATTTCAGGGCAATGAATAAAATCACAGCAAAATGTCCAGAAATGACAAATGAACCAGAATCAAACAAGAGCAACACAGCACTCCATGTTGCTGCTTTGAATAATAAGACCGAGATAGCCACAATTCTGATCCTACAAGTGAGTATTGCATATATGGCTCATCTTAACTAAGGAATACTAGTACAGGGAGTGCAATGTTATATAGATTGTTCATTATTATTGGGAATGAGTATATTGTATAGATTGTTCATTATTATAGGGAATGAGTATATTGTATAGATTGTTCATCTTAAGGAAGTTGATGTAGTGTTTTATTTATTGTTCATTATTAGGAAATGAGTATTGTATAGGGATTGAGCATTGTAAAGATTGTTCATCATAAGGGATTGAATGTTGTACAGATGGTTCATCCTAAGGGAATTAGTAATGTATAGATGGTTAACCTAAGGGATTGAATACTGCTTAGATTGTGCATTTTAAGGGAGACGATTGTTGTTATTTTTTCCTCTTAAAATTATAATAGGGAACTATTCTCTTTTTTAAAATAGTTGTAATTGTTTATGAGTATACCACGTATTATAACTCTGCAGGGAAAAGCTGATCCCAATAAGCCGAACAAGGTGGGAAGAACACCCCTTCACTTGGCCTGTATCGAGGCGTACTACGATATGGTTAAAATTCTCCTCGATCATGGTAATTTCACTGTTGAGGATTTTTCATTCAAGACTTTTTAAAACATATTTAACCAATTTGTAAGTTGTAATTTTGCCTTTTTCTTCAAGGTGCGAATATTTCTATCTCTGATAACGATGGTAACACGCCACTTCACTGTGCTCTAGGAGGCGTGCGATCACAGCCAATGGTGAGGAGACTTGGTATTTTCCGTTTTTTTTTTCAAATACCTGGTACATCACTGATATATGCAAACAGTCCTTTTTGTTTTAATACAGCTGTTGATCTTGATGGGGCGTCAAGTTCAGACTAAGACAGAAAGAGTGAAGATTGCCTGCATGTTGATAGAATTTGGTGCCAAGATCGATCAGAGGAACAAAAAAGGCCAACAAGCCATAGACCTAGCCACAGAAGCAGACGTCAAAGCTGCTGTACAACAACACGCCGATTCTGTGTAAGTTCCAGTTCTAGCATTTGTTAAACAATATTTTATTAATAAAAACTAATGCATAGTTTTAATTAACATATTTTCTTCACAATTATCTGTTCTATTTGCAAGGTCAAAAAGACGAAGGGAACAGGGAGGCCGTGACCGGCCATCGTCCGGTAGAAAGGAACAGCTGATGTTTCAGCAGCAAATGGTTGTACCCTGCTTCATGTGCTTCCAACAGACCGGAAGTGTTACTAATGACCCTTGTGGCCACAGATGCTTATGTCCAAACTGCAGTTTCCGGACGGAGGAATGTCCGGTATGCCTTCAGACGATTAATCGGCGACTCGATCCTCGTAAGTTTTTCACAGTTTTGGTATATTCCTGCGATTTATTGTATGTACTCTGACTTAATGAGCTTTTTATTTTTCTTTTAGAAGGAAATGTTTTACAACCCCTCAGTTTAGAAGACCTTTGCAAAGTCCAGTAGCCGCTAATACAATCAACAACTTTAAAGAGAACTTTTATAAAATCAGTGTGATGGAATAAGAAGTTGTATTTTGCATGGACTATAACACCATAAAATACTTACGAATAAATAATTGTCCATGTGGCATTAAAAGAAACTGAAATAGTTATTGCCTTATTATGTAAATATTTGTTTGGTTTACTATTATTATTAAAAGTAACTATATTTATCCTTATAGCGTTATGCACGTGTATAATGTAAAGATGTTATTTGTTTACTTCCCAAATCCATTTAATGTATACGCAGAAATGCTGATATATATAGGAATAAAATGCGTGCTAACCCGTCCGTATATATGTACTTGTACATTATTTGACATCCCAAAAACGTACAGCTTTACGATTTTCAATAAAAATGTTTTTAAAAATAATGTTTTTTTTTCAATTGATAAGACTGTAAGGTTTCTCAGAAGATGAAAAAACAGAAAATTACTACTCAGGTACAATAGTGTACAATAAAGAGGTCCTGGATAATTTCTAAACTGTATCAATGTAAGGAACGCGTATGTAGAGTTTGTAAACTTTCGCCGCTTTTGAAAGTTTTTGTGACAGACAGACGACTGATAAAATGAGATGCATTGCCCCGCCGCATTTGCGAAAGGAGGAGACGATAAGATATAATAAACAAGATGTGTTTGTTAAATACTGACGCACCCGTATTGCAGCTTATAGCGTGGGTCGAAGTTTCGCAAATGCAAGTCAAACTCCGAGGTCAGGGTCAAAATGTCAAAATTGTTGATATTCGAAGATACAAGTATTATACTTGTGAAACATAAAAGAGTAAGTACTAACCGTTCAAATGGTGTACATGTATGGCCAAAGTTAAAGTTTTCTTAAAAGTGGGTCAAACTCTAAGGTCAAGGTCAAAACTATTTATACCCTTTGAAAGGTCTTGTCGCAGTGAATACTCGTGTGAAGGATGAAAGCCCTTGCACCAACTTTTCAAAAGTTATGAGCATTGTTAAAGTTAATTTTTTTTTTTTGGTAAAAGTGTTTCACACTCCAAAGTCAAATTTAGTGGTACCCTAAGAGAGGTCTTGTCACAAGTAATACACCCGTGAAATATGAAAGCCATAACCCCATCCACTCAAAAGTCATATAGACAAGGTTAAAGTTTTTGCGGGAAAACAGAGAGACGGACGGACAGGACAAAACTATACATCCCCGAATCTTCTATTACGGGGTCATGAATATAACCCTAAACTAGTCTTTTTCAAAAATTCACACAATTTGATCTAAAACAGAATTTATGGTATATCAAAGAGTGTGAAAATACAGAATATTCAGAATAACCGCTGACACTTATTTATGTCCGAAATAGAATTCAAAACCACGAAGTATTACATGACTGTTATCAGTGGGGAGACCGTACATTTCAAGGTGATGCCATGGAATTAATGTGTGTCTTTCTTTTCTATGTCGCAGGTAAAAATGAAGCAAGTAATCAAAATTCAAATACGCTCGTCCTACGTAGATATGTTCAAGCTGTTTTATTTGTGTTTGTTTAGAATCTTTACATCATGCCTACGTTATCTCGTTCGATCAGTGTGTTTGTGGAAAGTTGCAATGTACCGGTATAACAGTTATCCAGTTGTCAAAATTGCCTCACTTTGACTTTCTGTATAAATAATTGACCTCACAATAAATTGTTTTTACATTAAGCACAATTTGGAGAAAAAACTGTTTTTAATATTTTCATAAAACTTCATCAACTTACACAAATTGCCGCCTTATCTTCAAAGGCTCAAGTGTCAGAGATTTGTCTGTTGTCTGAAAGACCTTCATGCATGCGCATTCCTTTTGCATGGTTAAAGCAAAAAGTATTTCAAGCCCTGGGTGTTACATCTCTCTTCGTCTTCCTTTTTAAGTACAAATATGTAGAGGTGTTATATTTTTTTCTGATAGACTTCTTGATGAAACATGCATATATTGAAATGATGTCGAGCACTTTCCTATTTACTTCTTTCCTCCGTTGAAATACTAATACCTTGTATATAATTTGTCAATCTGCAGAATCAGTTATTAGTTTTTATTACTAGTAATAAATTTGCCACTTTGTCTTCGATACTGGATTTCTGGCTGTATGTAGTATTAAAATTCAAATAATATGTAGGTTTTGCGAGAACAACAGCCCTTGTGGCGGACGGCGAACTTTCTCAATTTATGACCAACCTCTGGAACGAAGACGTAAACCGGGCAAGTTCTCATGACGTCAGATATAACCTTCAAGGTCATTCTGCAACTGGGAAGTCGGGTGTGGATTATGCCCCTGACAGGTGAGTTATGTTTATAATAATATCTCGAACGACTAAAAATGCCGGATGAGTCTTTAAGCACTTTAAGGTTCAACTTCCCTCTGCTCACTCAGCATCTTGCTTTAACGCTTCTGATTTTCCAAAAGTAGTCTACTTCATAATTAAAATGCACATATTTTTGCATACCCTATGGGACAAAATTTGATAGAAATGTTATTTTACTTGAAAATTATATAAACATTATAGAGTAAGTAGAGTTATCTCTCTTATTCATATTATTAGACATTCGATGAACCTTGTCATCTTAAGGATAAATAACACAATTTTTTTGATAAGTCAGCAATATTTCTCATAGACTGATATTCAAGTAGGTAACTTAAATGGTATTTTCCAAGTAAATTAGGACAATTTTTGTGAGATTTGCTGAATAATTACATGAATAAGAAAAAATGGAACAATGTCGAATATCTGACCACCAAAGACAACTTACAATTTCTTTATATTTTAGGTATAGATTATTTATGTCATTTCCATTCAAAATAAGAATCCATGTATGAACAAGATTTTTGTATGTGTTATACAAAATGATGGACTGCTCTATTTTCCAGGTTCTTTAGCTATGTAAATGAGGGTCACCTATTTCATAGACCAACTTATTCCACGTTTATTTCTCTTCTGAACAACTACCACTATAGGACCGGGACAACTGAGTACCAAACAACGGCCGAGGACTCAGAAGTCTCCCTGTTTCTCTCACAGATTTCTCAAACAAGTGTTATGAAACTGGCGCAACAGTTCCTACATTCCAAAGGTTTTTGACTCTTTACAGTACATGTTCATTATCAAATAGGCACTTGACTGATATTAGTATTATAAAGCGGATATTTTTATGCGCCCGGATCGATAGATCCGAGGCGTATATTGTTTTTGTCCTGTCTGTTTGTCTGTCTGTCTGTTGTCAACATTAACCTTCGCCATAATTTCTGAACCATGAAAGATAGAGACTTCATATTTCGTATGCATACTCCACCAATAAAGTTCTTTCAAATGACACCAAGATCAATGACCTTGTGACCTTGACTATGACCTATTTGCTAAAAATATCTTTTTTGAATTTTCGCCATATCTTTTGAACCATGAGAGATAGAGACGAGACTACATATTTGATATCCTTACTCCACCAGTGACGCTCTTTCAAATGACACCAAGGTCAATGGCCTTGTGAGTTGTGACCTTGACTGTGTCCTATATGCTACAAATAGATTTTACACAATTTTCACCATAACTTCTGAACCATGAGAGATAGAGACTTCATATTTGGTGTGCTTACTCCACTAATGAAGTTCTTCAATTGACATCAAGGTCAATGACCTTGTGACCTTGACTTTCACTTATCTGCTGAAAATAGTTTTTTTAAAACTTTGTTGCCGCCGGGCGCATAGTGTTTCACAAACACATCTTGTTTCTTATGAAAAAAAAATGTTAAAAATGTCAAGTGCTTGTGCATTAATAGTATAGATTGAACGTTCATGTCATATTAAAGAGTCCCTCGTTCAACGTTTTGCTTTACTAGATACTGCTGACAAAATCAGCCGTCAAATTACTATAATTGCAGATGTAGTTAAAGTAATTATTATATACATTTTGATATAAAGGGTACACTGGGAGTTCGATGTCAGCCTTTATGAGTACTCTGAGGAAAATTTGGTTTGATTTTTACCCGCGATCATCTCATACGACACATGAAGATACAAGTGGATTTGAACACGTTTTTGTTGGAGAAACTACGAGCTCCAAAGTGGACGGTTTCCACAACTGGATCCAGTATTATCTCGAAGAAAAGCATGGAAACCTTAACTATCTTGGCTTTGTCTACACAAAACATGTGAGCAATTAATCATTTTAAACAAAAAATTTGATGCATTGATTGAAATACATTTTCTGACTGATTTTGAATGCAAATGAACATAATTCATCATTTCTCAGAATATAAAGAAATCGTAAGTTTTCGTTGATGATTAAACATGCGATTTTGCATCAAATAATCATCGTTTTCTGTGTTAATTCTATGCAAATTGGGCATTGAAACAAAATCTGACAAAACTCTCCCATTTTTCCGGTATGAGAAATACTGCAGACTTCTATAGAAGAAAAAAAACCGTTCCTTATGTTTTTATCCTTAAATTTAGAGAAATTCATATTTCTGAAAAGCAAGGAAATTTAAATACTGCAGTAGAATTTTATATAGAATACTTATTTTATTAATTCCTTATTTTTTATTAATTTATATAGCCGGAAATTATAGCTACTCATTTCCAGTGGCATCATCAGATAAAATCCCTCAGTTCCTTCATAGTTGGCTCGAGTCCTGAGTTTGACCTCGCCATGTATACCGTCTGCTTCTTTGTACGACGTAACGGTGACTGCAGATTCACAATGGCTGGGCACAACATGGATGTCAAAACCTATACCGTGCCATTCGGACATTACACGGATTTAATAGCCACAGCATATATCAACTGATGCACATGTACAATTTAATTAGACATATTTTATTATGACTTTGGTTTAATTTAGCAAAGTAGCCTTTTTATGTACTTTATCATCTTAACACTGCTCAAGATAATTGATACTGTGCAATGGCCTTTTGTTTGAGTTTCTCTACAAATTGTTACATTATGCTTCAAGTTCACTACTAAGACTCCATTTTGAAGGTCATTGAGGAATTTGTATTAAAAATATCAAATTTCTTCTGAAAATTGTTAAAATTTTGAGGTGAAAAACTTTTGAACAAGAGGCCCATGGGCCACATCGCTCACCTGAGCACTAAGGGTAGGAAAAAGTAGAAGATGGCTTTTTATTGTAAAGTTTAAATCCAAAAGTAGTCCCATGACCAATCATGGATTTGCTATTTGTTAGAAAATAATTTTTAAAGAATTTTCCTATATAATCTTTGGTTGGCCATTTTGGCCAAGCCCTACCCCTGGGGGTCATGATTTGAACAAATTTGAATCTACACTACTTGAGCATGCTTCCATATAAATATGATGAATTATGGCTTTGTCCTTCTTGAAAAGAAGATGTTTAAAGAATTTTCCTATATATTTCTATGTAAAATTGCCATTTTGGCCCCGCCCTACCCCCGGGGGTCATGATTTGAACAAATTTAAATTTCCACTACCTGAGCATGCTTCCATATAAATGTGATGAATTATAGCTTTGTCATTCTTGAGAAGAAGATTTTTAAAGAATTTTCCTTTATATTTCTATGTAAAACTTTGGTCGGCCATTTTGGCCCCGCCCTACCCCCGGGGGTCATGATTTGAACAAACTTAAATCTACACTACCTGAGGATGTTTCCCCATAAGTTTCATCTTCCCTGGCACAGTGGTTCTTGAGAAGAAGATTTTTAAAATATGCCACCAAATTTTCATTAATTCCCAATTATCTCCCCTTGAATTAGGGCGTGGCCCTTATTTGAACAAACTTTTCCCCTTCACCCAAGGATACTTTGTGGCAAAAATTCGAAAATGTGAAAAGTTTTGCCGGACAAAATGTGATCAGAAAAAAGCTTTCAGCTCAGGTGAGCTAATAAAAGAAATTATAAATTAGAAGTAAAACTTCATAACTTAAACAATAATATAAAACATGTTAACATCTCTTTATACAAAACAAATGGATTTTGCTTAACTTAAACTTTATTTTCTAGAAAAGCAGGAAAACAATAGTCCTAAGAACAAAGAACAATAATATCAGTCGTAAATAATGTCCTGAAAATACATTAACTGGAATTAAAAAATACTCATCCAACACACTGGCGCAAAGCATCTTGTACCTTTGGATACCTAAATTGAAAACCCATGTCTAGTGTTCTTTTGGGAATAACTTTTTGTCCTTCCAAAATTACTACAGAGCGTTCACTTCCGAAAACAAGGTTCATCACAAAACCTGGTGTGGGTAAAATTGCTGGGCGTCCCAAGGCAGCGCCAAAAGCCTTCGAAAATTGTTCATTTGTGACAGCATCAGGGGCCACAGCATTTAATACACCCCGAACATGATCATTGAAAATAGAGAAATGAATTAAACTAGCAAGATCTTCCACATGTATCCAGGGTAACCATTGTGTTCCTTTACCGATGGGGCCCCCTAATCCAAAGTAAAACTGCCAGTACTGGTTCTGTATCAAGCCGCCATCTCGACCTAGTACCACTCCTGTATGTAAAGAAAACAAAGGCATTACTTCAGTGTTGATATTGACTTGTAGATTAACTTTATAATGATAAACTTTGCAAACCAATATATTAAAGCACTGATCAATTTTTTTCAAGGGTATTGTCATATCAAAGCTATTTTTCCCTCTATTAGGTAATTTTGCTCCTATTTATTCTGAATTCTAAAATACCGAAATCAATAGAACTGACAAAGTCATGATAGCTAGGCCCCACTACAGGTCTATATCCCTAAAATACAGAATAGCCTTTCTCTTATACATGTAGTAAATGTTTTCTATGTAAAATTTGAATGTTACATTGAAAACTATTGTGATTGAGTCACTACAAAAGTGCCAAGAATATGCCTTCAAACATACAGTGATATGACCCTTAACTTATTTTTCATTTTTTTTGCTTAATGGCAGTACGGTAAGAGAAAAATTAAAAAATTACTTTATCTATATCTTTCACTCTAAATGTGGAATTTAATTAAATAGAAAAATAATATTAAATTTTGTGCTTTTCCCAATATAAACTATCATTCCCAACAAAGTCTCTATTAACATTTTCCTTTTATAGAACATTTCCAGTGAGCCTTGAGCAACTCCCCGATTCTGACCTGATCGTAAGATGACCTGTCGACATTTTTTCTCAGTGTCTGAGTGAATTTTGGCGGCCAACTCCCAGTCTTTGACAAGGTTTGACATGTAATCATACGGCTGTACGGGGGAATCTTCTGTGTACTCTTTTACTGGGTCAGGCTTATATATGGCTGGAAAAAAAAGAGTAAAAATACAATGGAAGCAATGTCACAAATGTCCAATTCTTCTGTAAGGACAGAACAGAATTTCCTGTTGTTTAAAATATTCATTGCACCTAGATTTAAACATAGGTAATCAGAGATTACAGAGCTCACCTCAACGAATGTTGTCTTTAAATAAGGCAAAGTCACATAATTAACCAACAAAAAGTGTACATTCCAAAAATGAAAATATTCATGCAATTTTGGTCTGATACTTTGAAATTCAAACTAGTTCTTCATGAAAATGTAATTAAAATCCAGCATCTGAAGCAAATTTGAGAGTTTTCATCCCTTGATGCATCATTTGTGCAAGTTTGGTTTATACAATGTTATATATAAGCCTTATAGCTTTTTGGTAATAGACCTGCACCCATAACTTTTACCTGGTCCATTATCTGAAAAATGTATGTTGAATTCAGCATCCGAAGCAAGTCCATTAGTGTGCATCCTAAGATATATCATCCATGCAAGTTTGGTCATTAAAGAACTCATATTTACTTGGAAATGAATAATGCACCAAAAACTTTAACCTGTTTACTCAACCAGAAAACGTAGGTCAGATTCAGCATCTGAAGCAAGCCTGGTAGTATGCATCCTTAGACATATCATCCATGCAAGTTAAGTCATTATAGGGCTCATAGTATATTAGAAATGAGACCTGCACCAAAAACTTTAACCTGTTTACTCAACCGGAAAACGTAGGTCAGATTCAGCATCTGAAGCAAGCCTGGTAGTATGCATCCTTAGATTTATCATCCATGCAAGTTTGGTCAACATAGGGCTTATAGTTACTTGGAAATGAAACCTGCACCAAAAACTTTAACATGTTCACTCAACCAGAAAATGTAGGTCAGATTCAGCATCTAAAGCAAGCCTGGTAGTATGCATCCTTAGATGTATCATCCATGCAAGTTTGGTCAACATAGGGCTTATAGTTACTTGGAAATGAAACCTGCACCAAAAACTTTAACATGTTCACGCATCGGGAAAATGTAAGTCAGAATCAGCATCTGAAGCATGCTTGGTAGTATGCATCCTTAGATGTATCACCCATGCATACAAGACTGGTCAACATAGGGCTTATAGTTACTTGGAAATGAAATATGCACCAAAAACTTTAACCTGTTCACTCAACCAGAAAATATAGGTCAGATTCAGCATCCGAAGCAAGCCTGGTAGTATGCATCCTTAGATGTATCATCCATGCAAGTTTGGTCATTATAGTGCTCATAGTTACTTGGAAATGAGACCTTCACCAAAAATTTAACCTGTTCACTCAACCAGAAAATGTAGGTCAGATTCAGCATCCGAAGCAAGCCCGGTAGTGTGCATCCTCAGATGTATCATCCATGCAAGTTTGGTCAACATAGGGCTTATAATTCCTTGGAAATGAGACCTACACCAAAAAGTGCACCAAAAATGTTAACCTGCTCCAAAAACATTAACCTGGTCATTCCTCTGCTGAAATTGCAGCATCTGAAACTTTGACTGGTACAATGAAACACACTAGAAGCATCTTCCATGCATGTCTAATCAATATAGGACATAGAAGTACTTAAAAAGAAAACTGCTCCAAAAAACTTAACCTGGGACGCCGACACCGACGCCGACACCGAGGGTATTACATAAGCTCCCCCAACTTCGTTGAGGTGAGCTAAAAAGGGTTTTACTTGATAAGAACTTTTCATGAAAGAAAAAAAAAATGCTCAAATATTCTTTACATTCATAAACCATAAAACAAAACAAGAGATGTTTGTAAAACAGTTATGCCCCCCTCCCCCAAATGATTGGATATTTTCCAAGTCCAAGGGGCATAACTCTATCCAAAATAGCTCAATCATATCCAAAACAAAAACTGACATAGATATTTTTATGATTAATTTGTATATCAAATTTCATTTCAATATGTGCAACATGTGCAAAGTAAATGAACAGAAACTGCAAATAATTGGAATGTTTCTAAGTCCAAGGGGGCATAACTCTGTCCAAAATGGCTCAATCATATCCAAAACAGAACATGACCTAGATAATATTGTGATAATTCTGTATATCAAATTTCATTTCAATATGTGCAACCTCTGCAAAGAAAATGAACAGAAACTGCAAATAATTAGAATGTTTCTAAGTCAAAGGGGGCATAACTCTGTCCAAAAAAGCTCGATCATATCCAAAACAGAACATGACATAGATATTTTTTGGATAATTTTGTATATCAAATTTCATTGCAATATAAGCAACCTCTGCAAAGAAAATGAACGGAAACTGATGGTGGACAGACAGACAGCAGCAAGGCAATATGCCCTCCCTTTTTCAAAGGGGGGCATAAAAATCAGCATACAAATTTTCACTTGAAATCATACTCTCAAACAACATATACATGTATTTGAAACATGGTATACAGGAAGGAAGCTTTGATTTGCGTACCTACTCCTGACATGCTGATGAAAGCTTTTGGTGTGTGAGGGGTCGTATCACAATACTGAGATAGTATCTTAGAGGTCTCTATACGACTAGACTCCACTTGCTCTTTATAATCAGCATTAAACCTGTAAAATTATAATATGTGTAAAAATACAAATCTTAATCTGGATATATCAGAATTGATACTATTGTTCATTTTCAGCCACATATTTTCTTTCATATTCAAATTGGGTGCATGACTGTGCTGGCAAGCTTAGGCCAAAATAAAATTATAGTTTGTTTGGAATTGCCTCCCGCCTCATTGAAATACCCCCTCTTGAAAAAATTTTATTGACCAAAAGCAGGAAGATTTTTTTATTTAATCAATTTTTTTGCCCATTACATGTATCAAATACACCATACAAAACACTGAAATTAGTGTCAGATATATGTAAAATTGGGGGGGGGGGGGGTGTTAATGGTAATTACTTTTTTTAAAAGTCAGAAAATGTATTTACTGTTTACTGAGATTTTTATAAAAAAAATTCAGATTTATCTTCAATTAAAAAAAATAATAATTTCCCTCCCTCCCTCCCTCATGTGTCTGAAACCCTTCAGGCGGCAATTCCAAACAAACAATTTTTTAAGGATGGCCTTACAGAATTAATATTATTCCTAACCTTATAATTTTTGACATTTCTGGCTCTATGTATAGGGGCAATTTTGATCTGATGGGGCTTGCAAATACTTGGGAATGGACTTATCAAAAAACTTCAAACAAGTTATTTATCCAGAAAAAATTAATATTTAGCATCTGAAGCAATTTTGATATTGTTCATCCCTTGTTGCATCATCCATGCAAGTTTGGTTCAGATAGACTTCATAGTTTCATGTTGATGGAACTGCTCCAAAAACTTTTAGTAAATATATAATTCATCCATGCAAGTTTGGTCAAGGTTCAGCAAATAAGAACTTTAGAATGAACCTGCTCCAAAAACGTATATATGACCTATGCAAGTTTGGTGAACATATGCCTTATAGTTCATAATTACTTTAAAATGAACTTGTTCAGAAACTTTAAACTGGTCACTCATCTAAAAAATGTAGGTCAGATTCAGCACATGAAGCATGCATGGCAGTGTGCATCCATGCAGGTTTGGTGAACACAGAGTTCATAGTTACTTTAGAATAAACCAGCTCCAACAACCAACCTGTTCTCTCATCTGGAAAATGTACTAGTAAGTCAAATCCAGCATTTAGGCATTTAGCTTCATAGTGTGCATCTTTAAATGTATCATATATGCACATTTGGTCAATATAGGGTTCCGAGTTACTTGGAATTAATACCCACTCCTAAAGCATTAACCAGTGTCAAAAACTTTAATCTGCTCCAAAAACATGAACCTGGTCATTCCTTAGCTTAAATTACATCAGCTGAAACCTTGACTGATAGTCTTAGAATGAAATACACTAGAAGCATCTTTCATACATCTATGATTAATGTAGCTAAGGCATAGAACTACTTATAAAGAAAATTGTTTCAAAATCTTTAACACGGTAGGCTGACATCCATGCTAAAACCAATGCTAATGGTATCATTAGCTCCCCCAAACTTTGTTGAGGTAATCTAAATATAGTAAATCAAAGATTATGAAGCTCAACTCAACAAATATTGTCTATTAATAAGGCAAATACTACATCACTTTTTTTCTAGTGAGTGCATGAGTGCATCCCGAGATCAATATCCATGCAAGTTTGGTTTAATTTGAAATTATAGTTACTTGAGAATGCTTTAAAAACTTGGACCTATTCAATCATGAAGAAAAATCCCTAGATGCATCATCTGTGCAAGTTTGGTCCAGATACTGCTTATAGTTACTTGGTTACTGCTCCTGACACCAGTACCCTGATGCTATCGCTAAGCCCAGCACTGGGGGTATAGCATAAGTTCATCTAAACTTTGTCAAGGTGAGCTAAAAAGCACAAAAAACCATTACCTCTTCAATGGATTCAGAATGTTGTATCCACAACAGTTAACCAAGACATCTAGATCACCTGGAAATCCATTGTCATTTACCTCACTCTGTATTTCAAAAACAAAACAGAATACATATGCATTCTTTAAAAGTATAGGTTACATCATAGGAGCCGAGTAGTATTGATTATATCGTTTTCATGGGGCATGGAAATCGAGGGCGTAGCCCCATGAAAAGGATATAACCAATAGTACGAGGCATCTAAAAGCAACTTGTCGCATGTCTGATGACGTAAATTTCACTGAGAGTGTCAAAATTCAATCAAAAGAATATTCAGGCGTGTCACATGAACTTAAGATTTATTTCAAGCTAGCTCTCCAACATGTCGGGAGTTTTTAGTGAATTTGACTTTGACTTTTTTACTGGGTTTGAAGATTTTGACGATTTATTTTTTATCCAGGCACTCGACAAACATGAAATCACATAAACAAATATCAAGGAGTTGAACGCTGTAAAGTTTGGATATTTTACTGTAACTTTCAAAATGGATTGATCTTTTGAGCGACTGGGAACATTCAACTGAGTTAAATACATGTACCGGGTATTTTAATTTACATGTAGTTAAAAGTTAAGAAATAGCTAAACATGTTCATTTTTCTGTAGTTTTGAACTTGTGAAATATAAAATCAGTTTGTTTTTTTTTTTGCTCATGACCTGATTTCTGCCTCCTGCAGTGATATATGAATTCGCATATGTGATATGGGATATATCACCACAGAAAGATCAATGAAAATCACCGCAGACATGCGACAAGCTATATTAGCACATGGTAAAAACAAGGTTAGACCTAACAGAAATGTCTTTGTAATTAAGACTGGCCGACACTCTAACCAAGTAATCAATGTACATCCTCTTTTTTTCTATGCACAGTTATTACTTTGATTATCATCATTTACATTTTAGAATTCACGCATAAAAAAATTCTGATAAATGAAGCTTACCCAAGTGATTTCCTTGCTCAGTTTCTTTCGCGAGGGTTTACTTCGTCTGTTTAGCTGTATGATTTCACATTCTGATCTAGACAATAATCGAACCAGGTTTCGTCCCACAAATCCACTGGAGCCCGCTAAAGAAGAAAATTATTTCATTTTATAATGGATTATTAGATGATGCATGTAAACAAAAATTAGTTGCATTTAGCTTTTTGAAGAAACATGGGCAACATTTAATTACTGAAAATTTTCAAATGATCTATTTAGTACATGTACCTCTTTTTGTAATGTCAACATAATTATGCTGCATATTTGGCATATTAATGTTGCATGTTGAAGTTTTAAATCTATAGAATAATAACCTGCAAAATAGGGGCAGAGACTTTCCACCATAACACTCTCCTTTGTTAGGGCATCTTTACACGAACCTCCTAATTTACTTTTAAAATCAATCATTCCTTTGACCTTGACCTGACATCTTCAAATTTTTCCTCTTGCAACTTAGCATTTAATGACTTCTGTAGCAAGCATGAGTATGGATGCACATACAGTGTATGCTTTAGCCATGCAGTCACTGTTCTCATAATTGGGCCTGTGCGTGGTTGGAGATAATGAACAGTATTCAAAAACTCTTTAAACATTACAAAATAGAAACGGAGCAGACCTCCAAAACATCAGAGGCGGGATCTGGTGCCATTGAGGAGTGAGCATCCCCTGCTGACCGGTCACACCTGCTGTGTGCTCCTTATCATGTTCAGGGAAAAAAAGGAAAAATCCATGGACAACATAGTGTGTAAATAAGGGCCTAACAATTGGTATGAAAATAAATTGTATTTTGCTAATAAGGTCATTTATCGACCACAGAACTTACAAAATGATGACTTTGAATTAAATTGCGTTCACACGACAGCTAATGCGAAGTAAACTAATGCGAATTAAAATTTTACTTCGACAGTCAGGCGTGAGGAAGGCTATTATGACGTCATTTGCAAATCACGTCACCTTATCATACATTTGACATAATGTCACAGTGTCTGGAGACATAAGTGATTAACACATTTTTTCTTGTTTCAAAAATAGAAATTGCATTTTACTTAATTTTGCCATTACGCAGCATGCTCTTCACCAGCTAATCGAAGTAATTTAATGCGCAGTAAAAATGCGAAGTAAACTAATTCGCATTAAAGAAAGCTAATTCGCAGTAAACTTACGTTTAATTCGAATTAAACTCTCCGTGTGAACAGGGCATGAGAGCATGCTCTTCCATATCAAATTAACTGAGAAACTCATTATGAAGGTGACAAAGGTATATTGTTGCATAAATAAGGAAAACTAATGATTGAAAAGTTGAAATCATGTTTATCATAAAGCTTAGTTGTTAGATAATCATTAACATCTTTTTTTTAGTAGAAGCAGTAGAAACAGAAACAGATGTGCAAGACTCTGTGGTATCTTTGATTTCAAGCTCACTGGCATATATCATAGCGACACAAGTCAGAATGAAAATAACCATTGTTAATACGTTGTCGATATATCTAAATGGTGTTTTGTTTTAAACATAGTTTATTGATATCAATCAAAAGGATTACAAACAAGTTCTAAACTAGAACTGTCCCAACGGGACAAAATACCCCCCGCTGGGTTTTTCAGAAGTAAGTTTTTCCTTAATAAAGATATGTATCAAACATGAATTATAAAATTTTTCTTCCAGTGACCTTGAACTTCCCCAAATGACCTTGGGTCAAGGTCATGACACACCCTTGGGTCATAATATGGACTGGACATGAATTATGAATTTTATTTCCAGTGACCTTGAAGTTCCCCAAATGACCTTGGGTCAAGGTCATGACACACTCTTAGGTCATGGGCAATCTTTGTGTGAAATGAGAACCTACCAAGTTTATCCATAAGAAAGATATGGACCGGACACAAATTATGAAATTTTTCTTCAAGTGACCTTGAAGTTCCCCAAATGACCTTGGGTCAAGGTCATGACACACCCTTGGGTCATGGGCAATCTTTGTGTGAAATGAGAACCTACCAAGTTTATCCATAAAAAAGATATGGACCGGACACAAATTATGAAATTTTTCTTCCAGTGACCTTGAACTTCCCCAAATGACCTTTGATCAAGGTCATGACACACCCTTAGGTCATGGGCAATTTTTGTGTGGAGTAGTAGATTCTAATGTCCCTCTGTAAGAAAGATATGGACCGGAGACGATTGCACAGACAGACGGACAGACAGACGGACAAGGTGATTCCTATATACCCCCCCCCAAACTTCGTTTGCGGGGGGTATACTAACTTAGTAAATATCTAAATGTTGAGTTCAAGGCCACAGCAAGTGTTTTCTTCTTTTCACATAAAAGATTTTGGACATATTCTGCTTCAAATAAATACAAAAATAGGTCTGCTAATTATTGGGCACAATTGGTACCCATGGGAATTCCAGTAGATTGTTGGAAGACCTGGTCTCCAAAATCCAGATATTGTCAATTAGAAACTCGAGCATCTTTTTCATGCCAACTTCAGTGTACTTGTGTGTACTGCGTAAGAGATGTTTTCAATCATGCCAAACAGTAAGGATGCTGATGCATGGTTGCATTTCATTGCAAAACTATAATGAAATCAACAAGTTAAAACTTTTTTGATATAGTGTTTTAATAATAAATAATACAATCTGCTTATAAATGAAATTTAACTAAAAAAAGATCAAGTGAAATTAAGGAAATGATTTATATATAAATATAATACCAGTATATTTATTGAAAAAAAAAATCAACAGTCCTAAATCAAACAAAAATATATGTCCATTCTAGTTGCACTTAAAATATATATTAAATGTTAAAAAAAAAGAAGTTGAGGAAATTTTTTTTGTCATTTTCATATTCAGGCCTTGTCCTCTTCACAAAAAGACAACAAATCAGAAAACTGCAGAAATTCACAAACTGCGGAAGGTAGCTCTTCTGACAGCATGTCTTGGATCTTCTGATTGTGCAGCTTTATTCTCTGCCTTATAAAAATCCTGCATATATTGAGAAGACTCATAGGAGTCTTCAAGTAAGAAGTCAGCTGACTATCTATCAAGGCAAATTCTACTGGATCTATGTGATCTTTAAATCTGGACAAATTTTGTTGTAAAGCAATGTCAATTTTCAGTCCTGCCAACACAAAACAATTCATTATCAAAAGCTTCTTATCGCTTGTGCAACAGGATTTCACAAAACAAGCATCAAGTGGAGTAAATCCATGCTTATTAGAATAGTTAATGTTTGCACCATATTTGAGCAATAACACCACTTTTTGAACATTTCCTTTCTGACATGCATAATGAAGAGGAGTATCTTTCAACTTGCTCTGAACATTTGGATTAGCACCATGCATCAGTAATATATCCACGATCTCTGCACTGACCACAGGGGACATGCATGCTTGATGGAGAGCGGTCAACTGAAACAGCGAGGTAGATTCATTGATTTTAAATTGTTGATCAATCAAGACTTTTACCATTTCTGGATATGAGGTCAACACAGCATCTGTTAAAAAATCCTCATCTTTTGGTAAAAGCTCCTTGTCAATCAAGTACTGAACACCCTCTATATTTTCATTTTGAATGAGCAGTCTGACTGGGTTGATATTCTGCATTCCATCTGAGTTATTTATATCTGCTCCATTATCAATTAAAAATTTGATAATTGACAGAATTCTTGGGTGTTTTTTCCTTGAACAAGCTAGAGACAAAGGTGATTTGCCATCTAAATTCACACAGTTAACATCAGCGGCACTCAGCACTAGACATTCCACAACTGGCAAATTGTTGAATTCACATGCAAAATGCAATGCTTTCTCAAAATCAAAAGTTTCTTGCTCCACATTAGCACCAGCATTTATCAGAAGTTGCACAATTTGAGCCGAGTCAGCATGACAGTGCTCACAAGCAAAATGCAAAGCAGCTTTGTTTCTGTGAACACAGGTGCATGCAATATTTGCTTTGGCACCAGCTTGCAGGAGAAACTCCACTATCTCTTTATTTCCAAGTTTTGCAGCCAAGCACAGAGGGGTCATCCATTCTTCCCTGTTGATGGAGTCCAGTGAGAACAGATTATCTTCTCTTGTCTCCATTTCATAGATTTTCTTGACAGACAGCAAGTCTTTGTTGTGAATAGCAGCCATCAAAAGATCTGAGGCCATTTTATACTATAACTGCAAACAAAGCAATGAATCATGAATTTAATAAGTATTCTTTGATTACTGTCAACATGATTATATTTAAGTCAAAAATTTAAAAATTAAAATAAAGATATCTAAAAAAAATCAATATGGAAAAAGTTGCTAGCCTCCTCGAAACAGAAAGTCATAGCTGCTAGCTTAACCATTGTTAATAGCTAATTGGAATTTCAAGATGCATTTACACTATCAATGATTTAAGTAAAAGAATAAATTTCTAAACAACCAATGGAATTAACTTTATATAAGGGATATGGTAATCTGTAATTGGTTAACCAATATTCACACAAACTTACCCAGGCTTCACAGCTGAACAAATCTTCATTTAAGAACAGGAAACTAGTAGAGTTTCTTTAAAATTTTGGGTCAGATTACTGACAAGAATCTGAAATAAACAAGCTTAAGAATACCCTGTAATCTGAAAAATCGTACTCAGACATTATTTACAATGTTTATTACTATATTCTTTTTGTAAAACTGTTCTTTCTCATTTCTGCAGTTTGGCAATTTTATTTTGCAATTGATGAGAAAAAGTGCAAATCAAACTTGGAATGGAGTGCAAGGCTGCTCTAGACTATAATATGTGCTTGTACTCCACCAATTAAGCTACTCTACTTGGTCAATGTACTAAATTCTTGCTATTTCTGTCCCCTTTTCTTGAGATTTTCAACCAAAATTCATTATTTTTGTTTTCAAACCAGTAGACTTAGCTGGGTAAGAAAGAGATATTCCTAGGCTCAAATCTTGGTTCTTCTAATATTTTCATAAATGTGATTATTGTAAGTAACTTAATAATGTTTATAAAGTAAGGATCAACTCCTTACTCATGACTCTAAAGATAAATGTTCAACATCTAAAAATTTAGTAGACATTAAAAATATTAAATCAACCTTTCAAAAGAGAAATTTTTAAAAGTAGTTCAAGGTCATTGCTGTACAAATTGTAACAAGTACATATGTCTTATAAAAAACACTGTTCAAGTTCATGCTAAATAGAACAATCTTAAAGAGCACCTTTCAAATTTCTTAAAATGCTTTCCCTATGCTATATTGAATCTAGGAACTACTTTGAATAGTAGGTCAAGGTGAAAGGTCAGGTGGTCATAACTGTGCAATTTACGCAGAACCATTTTATTCATGACCGAAATACCAAATCCATAACGTTGACCTCTTATCTTAAATATGTGTTACAAACAGATGAACACACACAGCAATTTAGACACTGGGTAATTAACTTATTAAGAAGTTACAATCTTCCAGCTATCACTAGACTCAGGAGAACTCCCATCGGACTGGCAGGATGCTAACATCTCATGTATTTATAAAAAGGGTGACAAACACCAAGCTGAGAACTACAGGCCTGTGTCATTAACATCAGTATCTAGCAAATTATTGGAACATATCATCTGTCGACACATACTGAAACACCTAGAAAAAAACAAAATTTTAACAACGCTTAATCATGGCTTCAGATCTGGGTTCTCCTGTGAGACACAACTTCTAACAACAATGAACGACCTGCTTATAATTATGACAAAGGAAAACAAACAGATATGGCAATTTTGGACTTCTCTAAAGCTTTTGACACTGTTCCACATCAGAAACTACTCCATAAACTCAGTCAGTACGGCATAAGAGGAAGTACACTATCATGGCTAACATCATTCCTTACAAGAAGGATAATGCGAACAGTAGTAGAGGGCGAGAAATCAGAGGCGGTGCCAGTGGAGTCCGGGGTGCCGCAAGGCACAGTCCTCGGGCCGCTGCTCTTTTTATGCCACATTAACGACCTCCCAGACTCCATAACATCACAAGTCCGGCTGTTTGCAGACGATTGCCTCTTATACCGACAAATCAACAACTATGGAGATTAGGAAAAACTACAGGAAGACCTTCACAACTTGCAAAAGTGGGCCAATGACTTGGGTATGCATTTCAACGCCAAAAAATGCTACATCATGAGCATACGCCAAAAAACCAGCTAATTCTATACACTGGAGAATCACGTGCTGGAAGAGGTTGAAAATAACCCCTATCTTGGACTCCAAATTTCGTCAGACTTAAAGTGGTCAACTCACATCAACAAGATCACTAAAAAAGCTCATTCAACATTAGGATTTCTCCGACGAAATTTATCACACTGTACCGAGAACTGCAGGAAAACAGCCTATGTCTCCATGGTGCGATCAACACTTGAATATGGATCAATAGTCTGGGACCCATTTCAAAAACAGGACATAGATAAGCTCGAACGTGTCCAACGCAAAGCCATCCGTTTCATAAAACGAGACTACCACAACAGGGAAGAGGGCTTCATCACCACCAAGGCCAAGGAACTGGACTTACAACCGCTCCAGCATAGAAGGACCAGCTTGCGACTCATTATGCTCTATAAGGTGGTTGAGGGGTTGGTGCCAGGGCTACCAACTCACAATTTCATTCAAAAAGCTAAGCCTAGACGCCAAATCAAATTAAAAACATTCGATAATTGTGAAAATACAAACATTCTTTCATCTCAAGTCAAAAATAACAGCAAGTGTCTCGAAACAACATCTACGAAAACTAACCAATACCGCTCATCATTCTTTGTGGACACAGTCATCAAATGGAACCAACTGGAAGACAATATAATAAGTTTGCGCTAAGGCTGTCGAGGCCTTCAAGACCGCCCTCGACAGCTTGTGTCAATAAGTCCGACACGCGCTCTCTCACCGTCGTAGAAAAGCCAGTATTGGTCACTTCGACGTATATATACAGATAGAGATACAGATACAGATCTATTTTGCAGACGAAACAAATCATATTAGGGCCTATTAATCTTTTGACCTTCCCATATCTTTGTAACTGCAATACAAAAATACAGATCTACTATAAACATACATTCGAAATTCGGAATGAGGTTGTAACATCACTGCAGTTTTTTATTAACCCGAGACTAATGCCTATAAAGCTTTGGGGAATATTAAGTCAGAGGAATTTCGGGTGAACTGGCTTAGTGTCGTGTATTCGTAAGATTATAAGATGTTATTGTTGGATTTTTTTCTGCATCTCAACTTAAAAAATTAAGCAAAATATCTGCCACTTGCATTGCGAAACAGTTACAAGAAAAAAAAATAATAACCTACCGACTAGGATTTTCAGCGGTGCCATCATCAAATTAAAAACGGTTGCTCGACGTTTCGACACTAGGACTTTTTTAGCAAATGGAACCTTTGATATACTTGGCATTTTAACACCTAATTTAAGATGTTGCAGCATCTTGATAAGGCACTGGTATTTCTAATACAAAAATAACATGTAAATTTATATATTTATATATTTAAGTTAAATTTTAGGTGCAGAAATATTTCAACATCGTAGTTTATATCTGGAGCGTTCTTCCATACATTCGAAAACTCCCGGAAGTTTCGTCATTGTCAACCATGAAATAAGAAAGTAAACACCATTTTATGTTGTAACGCACCTTCAGCCGACAGTATCCTTATTCGTTCAATTTCTTGGATTTAGTAAACAGTTAATTATGCCGGTGATCTTACTGGAGAGGTTACCCCTTCCTAGTTTACAGACTTACACCTCAGTGTCTGTTCTCGTTTTGTCTGTGGCATTGTACTATGCATATCATACGGTGACCACTTTTGACACTTTGGCGGTTGATTTTGGTGATGGAGTGACCGTTGAACCAGTGGAAAATGAGGAAGTGCTGACAGAATCAACAGAGGGGGTCAATATGACCCTTCCGTATGACACTGTGCATTGGAATATGTTCCATATTTTGACCACAGAAGTGTGGTGTGTCTGGGTAATTACGTTATTCATATAAAAACATTTTTTTTCAGAAATTCTAGATAAATATATATTATTATAACAGTAACTTGATCCGAAGGGTCATATCATGTCAAGTTGACAGGCACGGATCATCAGATCTAACAAGACGCTTCGAGTTTGATCTGGTGATCCTCGCCTGTCAACGAGACATGATACGGCTCTTCAGATCAAATTACTGTTATAATGATAATTTTTATATATACCCCCTCATAACTAGCAAAATATAGCAAAAGAAAACTTTATAGATCAATTGTACAAGATTTATCCATAAAACAAAGCATACTAACAAGGGACTTTTTAACGGGCAAGAAAAATAACGTCATTTTTCTGCATACTACGTCATCAGTTTCAGAGAGTGGTGATATGGATTCAGAAAACCACAGTGTGGTGATCCGGAAAGTCGGATCATAACATCACGTGATTGCATAAAATCAACAGTAAAATTGAGTGATACACATTAGGTATATAATAAAAATTCAAACGGCCTATCAGCAAAGTCACAGTTATAGTATTTCCCACCTGAACATTTCCCCTACATATTCAGTCTTCACAACTATTCTTTTTCAGCACGTGCCCTTCGGGCATGTATACCAGTCATTTTAACCCAGCATATTGAAATTTGTACATGCCTTACTCAAAATTCATTCATATAGCCGATATGATTGTTCACAACTGTTGACTCGCATGCTGATTGTTTGTTGGTCGGTAAAGCTGAACCGAATTTCAGAAATAGGATCATGATCATCATGACAGCAGTCCACTGCACATGGTATCAATAAACATATCGTAATTTAGCAAGAAACATCGAGAAAACAAATCGGTTAAATTAAACACTTTAATGATTACAATTGACAATCATTTGACAGGTCGTACTGATAATGTAACGTAAGACGTATGTCGACTGGCAACACAAATAACTGGGTTATGACAAAAGAAATAGCAACTAAACATCAAGAATCAAAAGAAAATTCACACATGCCCTTTGGGCATGTAATTTGAGAATTTTCACATGCCCGCTGGCAAATTTACCAGGTCCCGGGCATTGGGCACCCAGGTTATTTCGAAGACTGCATATTGTAACAGGAAGGGAGGAAATGTATGGCTGGACCGGGAATCGAACCCGGGACCCTTGCATCTCCAGTCGTGTGCTCTACCAACTAAGCTATCCAGGCTGATATCCACGGCCAAAACCATTACACTCCTCCCTCCTTAAATTGTCTTCGCCCTCGAAGACACAACCCAAGTTCTTATTACCCCCTGGGCCCTGGTAGGACTTTCACCTGCAATTCCAGGGGTAGTCAACGGCACATTTGTACAAGGAAGGGAGAAAATATATGACTGCATGGACTGGGAATGGAACCCGGGACCCCTGTATCTCCAGTCAGGTGCTCTACCAACTGAGCTATTCAGGCCAATATCTACAGCCCAAACCATATATGTACTTGATATTGTTTATTAATAATGCAATATTTAAATTTGAGTCCATCTTCAAAAAAAATATTGCTGTATACAATGTTGCCAAATTAACTTAATTAATTCCATGTTTTTCCAGATTTTAGTTAACTCTGCATACTGCTGTTTAATACTTCTTGGAAAAGCAATTCAAAAGCTTGTGTTTGGGGAGCTAAGAGTCTCAGAAGAACAGGTATGACTGAGTTTATTTTGTTTGTGTAATGTGTATAGAGATTAACATTAGAGTATTGCATAAAAATGAAGTGTATCTGTATCAGGGGTTGTGGTATTGGTCTTATATACCAGTAATATAGAAATTGCGTAAACTCTCTGAAAAACTTCTATGCTCCTAGTTATTTAGAAAAAAATCTGAGTGCATGCATGTAGTAGTAATGATGAGCAAGAGTGCTTCTTCTTAAAACTTGTGAAACTGAGTTAAATTTTTAAAATAATTTACCATATTCCATGGATCCTAACAAGGATTATATTATGGTCAGATGATTATTAAGGCCTTCCAATGGCTTCTTGTTGATATAAGCATGTATTTTTCCAAAATATTTCTGCAAAATTCATAATGACAAAAATTGTTTATCTAGCATTTATTTTTTCACAATATTTTTCAGCATTTGAAAGACAAGTTTTGGAACTTCCTGTTCTACAAGTTTATCTTTATATTTGGGGTGTTGAATGTTCAGACCCTGGAGGAGGTGGTGTCCTGGGTGGCGTGGTTCACCATCCTCGGCTTCTTCAATCTCCTCACACAGCTCTCCAAAGACCGCTTCGAATATGTAAGTCATACAGGTGCTTAGATTAGCAAGTGTAAGTCAAACAAGTGCTTCTATGGGAAAATGTAAGTCATACAGGTGTAAGATTAGCAAGTTTAAGTCAAACAGGTGCTTCTGTGGGAAAGTGTAAGTCATACAGGTGCTTAGATTAGCAAGTTTAAGTCAAACAGGTGCTTAATTCTATGGGAAAATGTAAGTCATACAGGTGCTTAGATTAGCAAGTTTAAGTCAAACAGGTGCTTCTGTGGGAAAATGTAAGTCATACAGGTGCTTAGATTAGCAAGTTTAAGTCAAACAGGTGCTTCTATGGGAAAATGTAAGTCAAACAGGTGCTTTTATGGGAAAATGTAAGTCATACAGGTGCTTCGTATGAAAATGTAACTCATATATATGTGATTCAATGTGAAAATTAGTCACACCTGTGGGTGTTTCCATTGAAAAATGTAAGAATTTTTTTTTAATTTTTGGATAAAAGTAAATAGTGAAAAAAAATAAGAAATATGTGAAATATATAGTATACAGTCTTGCAATGAAATGTCATTTATGACTCAGGACTCTAATTGATATGTGATATAAACTGTTTTACATTTCAGCTGTCCTTTTCTCCTATAGCTGCCCGGGGTATCCACATTAAGCTGCTGGGCCTATTGTTTGTCATCCTGCTATGTAGCTTTGCATTACTGTTTCTTAGTGGATATGTAGGGCTTCAGACAGGTCCCACTATTTTTGCCTTTTTAGCTGCAGAGTGCCTTCTGTTGGGGATTAGGGCCCTCTATGTTGTAGTAAGGTAATTAAATGTGAATATGTTTTGTGCATTCAAAATCTATATACAGTCAAACTTGGTTATCTTTTAAATACCAATATATCTAGTAACAGGGATAAATCAAAGTGAGTTAGCATTCTGTACCACTTTCTGAGTTTTTACATGCAGTTCAGTTTCAAGAGTTATGCCCCTTTATAGATTAAACTTGAAACTTGAAGTGAATAAGAAGGACTAACAACCCTTTATTTATGTATTTTGACCTCTTTATCTTGATTCTTTGGATATTTCAACCGTTTTTATAAGTTTTATGAGGTTTGACTGTACATAACAAACATGGATTATTAAATAATACATGGATTTAGTTCTGTCTTTGAATAATGAATAAGTTTGGAATGGAGATTTTCTTCACGCTTTTGAAGGATCATTCCACATTCATGAAAAAAAATATTTTTTATACCATTTTAAAGAAATGCTTCTGTCATAATTTTTATTTTTTATTTTAAGGAATTACTCAGCAATATATCAAGGAATTAAAAAAAAAATTAAAAATATATTTGTTATGCTAAATTAAGGATTACTCTTTTAGAAGATTATTATACCAAGGATGTTTCCTTTGTTTTAGATATGTGATCCACTTGTGGGACATGAGTGTTGCCAGTGTCTGGGAGAACAAGTCTATTTATATCTATTACACAGAACTGGGATTTGAGTTGGCTTATTTAGCTGTTGATTTTGCACATCATCTTCATATGTTGGTAAGGCAATTTCAAAATTTAAAAGCTGACCAAAATTTATAACTATTGCCGGTTCATTTTCAAGTAATACTCTCAAAGAATAAAAAAAATCTTTGTTGAGAAAAAAAATATTGTAGGTTCCAATTTTTTCCGACATGGCAATTTATTTGACGTCCTGAATTGACATATTCTCCTGTGTTTTTTTTTTAGCTGTGGGGAAATATCTTCTTGAGCATGGCCAGTCTTGTAATTTGTATGCAGCTGAGGTATCTGTTTTATGAATTCAAAAGAAGGATCAATCGCCATAAGAATTACAGAAGAGTTGTACAAAATATGGAAGCAAGGTAATACTAGTTCTACAAATTTAAAATACATGTACAATATTTTAAATACTTGTTAACTGCCTAGGAGATGTAAATCAATAAAGATACTTAAAATTTAAAAAGTTTTAGAGGAAGAAAATTGTAAATAATGTACGTCCACATTGCATTGTCTCCCCTTGCAGGATTGCTACCATAGCAAACCCTTTTCTTGGAAATGATAATGTTAGGTTTGTGTGTGTCCCCTTCACAGAAGGTTTTATTGGTACCATGATTTTCAATTGTGTCAGATGCAGTATATTATTCTGTATTCAAGCCATACACACCATATCAAAAATTATTGGATGTTCAAACACTTTTATCAGTTTGATTTTCTTTTTTACAAAACAGATTTCCAATGGCTACCAAAGAAGAATTGCAGGGTCATAATGATAACTGTGCTGTGTGCTGGGAGAGGATGGAGGTGGCAAGAAAACTGCCATGCGGACATTTGTTTCATAAGTATGCACTTTACAATTATCAAAGACAAATCATCATCACATGAAACATATCATGTTAATGTTGTTTTGCCTACATGGCAGACATATAGAATATCACACTGCTGTTTTGATCTTGGTCCTGTATCAGCCTGAGTGGCTATTATCGGCCCAAGCCCAAAGGGACAACTACGTCTAGCACCTGTATATCTCTGCATGTCTAGAAGATGTCAAATTTGACCCCCAAAAATGTCAGAAGATTTTGAGAAGTAAATTTCGAGGCATGTCATATTTTTTACAAAAATAAATTACAAACTTCAGAGTTCTATTGTTACGCAATCACAGGAAGACAACCATTGCACTAAACTCAAAACTCGATAACTGAATATAGATACTGTACAATCAGGTGTAGGACGCAGTGAACAAGGTGGAGATCAGCGTTCTATTCATGCTTTTGGCAAGAAATTCTATCTGTACATTGCCATGAAATTAAAACAAATGTTTATACTGAAAGATTTTTTTTTGTATTGATCAAGATACTATCTTTGTTGTTTAAAATTAAATGACTTGCCAGTAAAAAAAAGAAGTATTCTTTTTTAATCTCTCAAACCCTATACCTCTTGAAATTTTTTAAGGTCCCTGGATCTTTAGAAGATCAAGAATCACTGGAATTTTAAATTCAAGTACATAAATAAAAGATCTTTTTTCTTATAACTGGAATATTGGTGTCAAAACTAAGACCCTTCTTTGATGTGTTTTATCAAATAATTTTTCTATAACAAGAAATACTACTATCAATTGGAAAGAAATTTATCATAATTTGACATCTTTATTATTTATCTGTACCGAGAAAGATTACATACAAGTACCTAAATTTGAGGAGTTATAGGTTTGTAATTTGATAAGCTTTTGATATCTTAAATTAGACAAGGTTGGGAACAATTGAAAACACAAACTCCATGTGTGCATTTGATCTCTACCAAATATTTAGTAGATTATAAATTTCCAAGACTTACACTCACTGTCTCTTTACATGTAAAATAAAAATTTAGGCCTTAAAAAATTAATAACTTGGTTCTCAGACCCATCCGCATTTCATTCAAAAATTCACATTACCCGTTTCTATCCTCAAATGAATAAAATAAATTTTCTCTCATGTGCTCATACTGTGTCAAAAAAATCTGGAATTCCAGACCGCATTTTAGAAATCAGTAAAACATTTGACAAACATCAAGATGATCCAGGCTTTTGGCCTAGTTAAAATTGCAAATATGGCCAACAAGTAAAGAGGAGAAGGCACCAAGATTAAGTTAAGTTATAATGACATTGATTTCGGTGCAAGTCATGAGGGAATGTACTTCCACGGTACAAAGTGGGGGTTTCTGAAGGTTTTCCTTGCTAGAACTTGATCAATAACACTATCAAAGACAGTTCCCTCAACTTCAGACGTCATCAAGATTCACAGATTTCATTTAGTATGGGTAAACTAATTGCAAAGACTGATGAATTTGACAATATTAAATAAAATCATAAGTGCTAATTATAGAGCTGAAACACTTACATTAGTTGTGTAAAGTAATCAATTGACCAGATGCATCACTAAGTGTTGGGTTCTGTGTTTAACATCTCGTTTTTAGGATGCCATCGTTTCATTACACGAATCATTGGGATGTAGAAGATTCAGGAGATTAGAGAAAGAATCAAAAAATAGATTATTTTGATTTTGGCACTTGATGTTGAAGCACTGTTGATTAAAAGTTGCTAGTTTTGAAATTATATCTTCAAAAAAAAAAAAAAGAAATTCAAAAATACCGTGTCAGTTTTTCACGAGATAAAAAGGGAAAAAAATGCCTCCCTCCGGCATTCATTTTTTAGAAAACAGGCCTGAGAACTAAGTTATTAATATTTTTTGCCTTACTTGTTTGAACTTCTCAACCATATATCTGTTATATTATTATAAGCCTATAAAGGTGATTACAGTAATTTTTACGTCATGTAAAGAAAGCCTTCAGTATGTTTTTAATAGTGCGTTTTACTTTCAATACACATGTATCTTCATGCAGAAGTAACTATTTAATAAAACACAATATGTTAATTATATTTAAATTGACAAAAGTTTTTTCCTTGATAAACATGAATAGCACATTAAGAGAAGTGAATGTCTTCAGCATAGTCATGAATGTATGGACATTCCCAATTTGTGAGGGGACATCCCCACTGGGTGTTAAAATCAGGACACAACCTCTGCTCTCTATAGTTTTGCGAATGTTCTACTCTCCACTCTGGATCCCTAAAGTTTTGTGATTGTTCTTGTCTCCACTGTGGCTCCCTATAGTTTTGTGAATGTTCTAATCTCCTGTCTGGTACCCTATAGCTCCCAGACTGTTCGAATCTCCAATCTGATGTGTCAGAATTGTAGCAGTTGTGATTGTAAGAAAATGAACTATTTCTGGTCATAAATATCTTTTGTCTTGTAAGTAGTGCTTGCATGTTGGGTATCCTGCTTTGTCTGGGAATTTTTGCTGCCCTGTCTTGAAAATTGCTCTTTAGTTTTCTTTTTCTGTATGGTGGATAGTTAGAGGTTGCTGAAGCTGAAACAGTGCTCCTCTGATTGTTGTTCCCATTGTTGTCTTTTAAATTAGTAGCCATGTCACTCGAGCCAGAGTTAGGTTCCTTTATTGCATTGCTTTCAGATGATTTTGATGCATCTGATTGTGGTTTCTTGACTGTTTCAGTTATCGGATTTTTTACTTCACAAGCTTTGTTTGTTTCGGCATTAGCATTGATCTTCATCACTGGGTTTTCAGTGTTTTGAAAAGCACTTGTTTCCTGTTTTACTTTTTGCCCAATAATTTTTCCACAAGTCTTCTCTTTTGTCTGTTTTTCGCTACCTTTGTATATTTCTGATAATTTGGTCTTCTTCATTTTCTTTGCTGCTGGATGACTATGCTTCTCTGTACTTGCTGGAAAATCTTCTTGTGTAATTCTTTCTTTTCTTGTGGATGGGCTCTCATATGAAGTTGAATTCTTGAGATTGGATTTCATATTGCTTTTTACAGACCTCAATGGCTGATTCTGTACATGCTGATAAGGACACTTCCACCTTCTACATCCTCCGGCAGTATTGAAAAATCTGCAAATCCTCCAAGGAGATTTCACATTGATAACAGTGACAAGATCATCAGTATTTTCAGGCTGCTTTGTCTTTGTTCTTTCACTTGTGTCAACTTTTACTTTCTCTTCTGGTTTATTTGCCATGGAAGAAGAAGATTTGCCTTGTTCCCTGTAAGATGTATCTTCCTGGTTCTTGCCACTTTTGTCATCAGGAGTTAGTTGCTTTGAACTTGTGCCACTGATTTTATTTTGCCCCCGTCTTTGCTGATCCTTTATTGGCTGTGCTTTTTGCAACTTCTCCAAAGAGCTTTTGTTGTTTGATGTCTCTTTTTCATTGGTGCAGTTTTCTTTAACATTTAATTTGCAAACTTTCTGTACATCTTTTACTTGAACACCAGAGTCTTTTACATGATCATGAGGCTCTGATACCCTTTCTTTTGGATGCTGTCTGACCTTACACTTAAGATCACTCTCCAAGGGAGGTTTGGTTTTACATTGTTCTGTTAAAGAAGACTGTCGTTTTACATACCTTGGGGTTTTTCTCACTCTCAGTTTTCTGATGAAATATGCATTGAAAATTTCATAAAATGATGTGTGAATCATAAAACAGTTCTTGTTCATGCAACCCTCTTCTGAGTTGAAGTTGTTACATATCATTTTCTGTGACAAATTAAAGAAGCACACATTTCCCTTTGTGTCTTTCAGCACATCTGCCAACTCTTCTATTTGTGGAACACTCATATTGATCTTTGAATGTGGATTGTAGATAGGTAGAGACAGATGGAGCTGGTTACATGTTCCCGGACAGCCAATGCCAGTAAAAGTTGACATGTTAAATGCATTGCACACTTGTCGGCCATCACAAATGTATATGTGTGTCATGTTCTTTAGGTTAATATCAACGTACTCACTGGTGGTAGGGTTGATTGGTTTAACAGATTTTTCTTTTGCCTTGAATTCTAAAGTGTCTTCTTTAAGGGGAGCTTTTCTTGTCTCTTTCTCAGGTTGTTTATCACTTGGTACTTCTTCTGATGTCGCCTTCTTTAGCTTTGCACTTTCAGTGCCTATTACAACTGTTTGAACACTCTCTGATGCATGGAGTTTTGATTGATCTGTCTCGTTTGCTTCCTTTGTTGTGCATTTAACATTGGTTATCATCATTGTGTCGTCTGTTTCCATTTGCTTTTCCTTTTCTGATGATTTCTGTATGGTAATATTAGTATTCAATATGTTGTCTGTTGCCATTGTTGCCTGTTGTCTGCTTTCTGGTGACTTCTTCCTGGGAATACTCAATTTATCTTCTGTTGCTGTTTGTTTTACTTCTTTTTCTGATGACATCTTGGTAATATTCAGCACAGTTCCTGTTTGTTTCTCTTTTCCCGATGACATCTCCATGGTAATATTCAATACAGTTTCTGTTGCTGCTTGCTTCTCTTTTTCTGATGGCTTCTCAGTAATATTCATCATGTTGTTTGTTTCCACTTGCTTTTCTTTTTCTAATGAATTTTCCCTTTCAGTAAGTTTTTTAATCTGTTTAAAAGGCACATGTATGATTTCCTTATTTGCACTAGGTTCAATTGCAAACTCCATCTGCTTCAGAGTATGTGTTTTTTCCTCCTTGCTTTGTTTAACTGCTCCATTTTCCTTGTCAATGTGCTTATTTTTGGTTTCATCTTGTTTGCTTTTTATTGTTTGACCTTTCATATTCTGTTCTGCATTCTTAACTTTCTGCTCTGGAGCCTCATCAAGTCTTTGTTTTTCCACCTCAACTGTTTTCTTCTCTCCATCATTTGTAATTTTTTCCAAGTTCTTTGACTTCGTGCCTGATGTTTGCAGTAATTTTTTTCTTCTCACTCTTTTTTTCTCCCTTCTACGTTGATTTCTTTGCTTTTTTCTTACCAACACTCTTTT